ATGACCCTTCCAGGGATTTCAACGGCCTACTGGCTTTCCAGACTTGAATCTCTTTCACTTTTTTGAATTTTAGGGACCCAATCCAGTGAGTATTCACTCGATTAGAATCTAATAACTAGGTGATTCACTCCGATAAGAAAATCATTTTTTTGTTTATTCTCTAGCCAAAATGTTCACTTTGTTCACTAACAGTCATTTCAAAAACTAATTATGTCTTGAGCAACATCTTGAAATACTCGACTTATGTTTTTCAATGCCGATTTTCAATAAGTATTGAAAAGATAATATGTCTTCTTATACTTCAAAGCATGTTAGACTTAGAACTTTTTGAGGATATTTCATATGATGGTTATGTAAAATATTGGACACAACATGTTGGATGAGCATTGATACAATACATTTATAAAAACGGGGAAAGGATGGCTAGCAGAAACCAACAAAAAAACGTTTTATTAAATCAAACTACAGAAAATCGGCGAAAGGGTGCAAAAGGACCCTAAAATTATGACGTATTTTTTTGCTGCTTAACGTTTTTTCGCTGCTAGATTGTTAAGCTAGCAGAACCTAACCAAAAAATAACGTTTTATTGAATCAGACTACAGAAAATCCACGATAGGGGGAATAGGAGCCTAAAATTATGACGTAGTCTGATTCAACAAAATGTTTTTCTGCTGATTGGTTTGGGATCTGCTAGCTTAACGTTAAACTAGTAGAACCCACAGTATTCCCGTAAATGAAGAGCAAAAAATTATAGAATTGAGTACAAAATTAGTCTAAAAATAAATATAAAGATTCAAAGTGAGGATTTTTCACCATATTGAAGCACTTGTTTGTTTTGTCAAAATTATCCCCAGTTCTACCTTTTTACACATATTTCCTACCTGTTTCATATTATATCCTATTCGAGGATTAGGATTCTACATGATAAACATCTTTGAACCTATCAGGGATGTTGCAAGACAAAGTTATCAACATCATTTACATTTTACCTTATATATACGCCAACTGTTATTGTTGTGAATTCCAAGGGGTCTTTTGGTAGTGCTATAGTGATTGTGGCGGAACTAAATTTTCTAACAATTCTAAGTGACAAAGTGAACTCGAAATGTTTACATTACCAAATTATAAAGATCAGAGTATATCTGATGCTTATGAAGAAGCTCTTGATGCCTTATTCGAAGCTGAACCTTACTTTGATATGAGTTTTAGCGATTCCTCAATGTCGGTGAGTTGTATACAGTAGTTTGTATTATTGATGAATATATTTTTTTCTATATTTTCTGCGCGTCGCTTCTACGGTAAGAAACACAAAATAATTCATCTAAAAACTGAGAACATTGACTCAACTATTTTCACATAAGTTGATACATTTCGAATAGGTGAAAGTGAAAATTTCACATAGTTGAAGTTGAAACTACAAAATTTTATGATCATATAACAAAGAAAGCATGTTGATAAAAATATTATGAGCGATCTGAAACAATTTTTAGACAACCAAGTGTAATGTTAATAAGAAAGGGTTTTCAGAAATTGTTTTGCAACTGATGATAATACTAATTATTCAACTAAACTACTTACTTTGTAGATAAAAAACAAGTGCAATGACTACTTCACTAAAATATCAGTTAACAACTTTTAAACAATAAAACTAAAATAGGCTTACTTAAATCGAGAAGACAGCTTTTTAAAAATGAAGTTGAATAAGCTAGCTTAAATCGATTTGACTGTACTATAACTTGACTGCGGTCGATATACAACCGAATATCACTGCAAATCAAATGCGATGTTTTTCATGAAATAAATATAGTTTAAAAAACTAAAAACACGCTATAAAGAACATCGAACTAAAAAGTTACATTTTTTTTTAATTAGCCTAAAACAATAACGAACGAAAAATACTAATATTATTGTGAAAAAAGCGTGGG